TTTTAGGTAATTTAATTTGACTCTATTAATTTAATTTCAGTCTGCCCGGAGGGTTATTTCGGGGATCACTGCATGGAGCCATGCGACTGCCCAGCGCATGGCAGCTGGGAGTGCGACCCGGTGCGGGGCTGCGTGTGCCGGCGCGGATACATCGGCGAGCATTGTGACGTGCACGCCGCAGACGCCATACACATCGACCATGCCTCAGGTACTCTTTTCTTCCTTTTTTATATCTTTGGATACTAAATTTTATTACTGGCTGATGCCAAAATATTCAATAGTAAAGGATATTTCCATTTTTTTTATAAATGAAAAAAAGAGCAGATTGTGTCTAAGCACAATTCGGCCAAATTTGATTGTAACCACAGACTAAGTTAATATGTATTCAGTAGGATCATCAAACGCCGGCTTGACAACCGTGATGGTGATAATGGTGCTGCTCTGTGCCGCGGCGGCGATCCTCGTGCTGCTGTACTACCGCAAGCGCGTGCGTAACCTGAAGAGAGAGATAGCACATGTGCATTATACTGCCGACCCCAATCAGCCGCCAGGTGAGGAACCTTTAACGAATACTGGCTAAATTAAAAAAAAAACTAGGAAAACATGTACAGTGAAAGGTAACTGGAAGGATAACAGTAATAAATTTAAATTTCCAATTGTTTTATTTCAGAGCAACACTTCGACAACCCAGTGTACTCGTTCCAAGGTTCAACACGTAGTGACGAAAGCGCGTCCACATTATTGAACAATTCCAACAAGATATTCAACAATTTGAACCCCGGTAGCAAGCTCAATAACGCCACATTAGAGAAGTTGAGAATGACAGCCAGCAGTTCTAGTGATAGTGAGTATTGCCTTATGACACATATTGTTGTCTCTACTTTTTGAAAGAGAATGAGAGAGATAGACTTACAAGTAGTTTATTTTATATAAATATTGCTCGCTACTTTTCAAAGACTCATATAAATAATTGATAATATTGCTACAACATAAATATCTTTCAGCTTATGATCCATTGTCGTCGCTAAAGAACAAAGACGCAGACGCGACCAATCCCAACCTGTACCACTGCATTGATGATGACAAACTGGACCACGTCTACGATGAAATCAAACATAAAGAGGGTTATGGTAAGTAAATTAACTCTTTTTTACTGGAAATCAATCAAAATTAGTCTTCTTGTTTAAAGTGAAGCTAGCATTATTTTCTCTTATTAAATTTGGCAATACTTTAACTTACAAAATTGGTTTGCACTTCGTAACGCAGGTCATCGTTCATGTGATTACGAAAAGCTAAGCTTAAAATTATATGTTTATATTCCCACAAATAATTAAGTCTTTCGAATAAAACCTTATAGTTTAGAAGCTTCCATTTAGAATAACGATTTGTGGATTTAAATTCAATTTGAATTTGAAATAAATTTCAGAAATGGAATATGACCACTTAAACTACACGCCGCCAGCAAACACGTGGAAGCCGCACTACCAGCGGATGAACAACGACTTGCCGGCCACACACACCAAGCCGGCACAAAAATACCCCCAGGCCGAACATCCCGCCCCGGGGGCATCGCCCACACCGCCCATACCACCCCTGCCCAAACTGAACATGACCCCCATACCACCGCCGCGCTCCATCGACAATATCGAAGTACCAGTCCCTCCTAAACGGGAAGAAGGAGCATCCTGTATCAATGAGGATGAAAATCAAACACCCTGATGTGTTCTCTACGTGTTTCAACTAAAGCAATATTTGTGCAAATTAGTGTAACGTCAAAATTTTAAGAAAAAGAGAGTATTTGATATTTTGATATGCCTTTTGGAGTTTGAGCATCTTGTTACGCTATGTAGAAATTTTATGTAAACAAAAGATAAATTATTGACTTGTTAATATTAAAAGGTCTGATTGTTTAAAGAGTATAAATTATCAAGAAATTATGACTCATATTAAAAGGCAGCTTTAATGTTATGTTCTCAATCAGGACTTTGGAAAGGATTTAAAAAGAAAATTAATTTATTATGAGGAAATATTACCACAAATTTTGTGCAGGATGTGAAGAACATTATAATTTTGATATGACCTTATAGACATTTTATTTTTTGCTTACATAGAATCTCGTACGAGTGCACAAAAACATGAAACTTGGTTGAAAGAGTTGCTTACTAACCCTGCTCTGTACAAATCTACAAGGCTTGTGTTAGCCTGTACAAACGCGCTCTCGTGACGTCATTAAACACAGGTCTCATGTTATTGTGCGCGAGGTTTAACAGACTGTAAATAGCTCTGTTGATAATAGAATTAAGTGTTGTTTAGTGAGTGATCTCCTCTACACTTTCATTTTATTATTATTATGTATTTTTAATCGATAACTTGTCTAATTTTATAGAATTTTTTCATGAAATCAAATATTAATATATTAGCCCTTATTAAGATTAGTAATTTAAGGCAGTCTATTTAGGTAGTGAAAATATATTGCCGTTTTTTTATCACAAATAATGATTTTAATCTATTACTTATTAAAAAGACAAGGGCAATGCTCAACATCACTTGTATATGAAAATCGCATATTTATTAAAATATTTTAAAATTACAATAAACATTATTTTAAGCTAATATTAAGGTTGTATGTAAAGAACTCAATTTAAAAGCAATCACTTTTACATATCATAAAAATTCATACATTTTAAACATTTATTTTATTCATTTAAATGAATAAACAGCCACCGTTTTTAAATCATCGACACAATATTTTTATGACATTTTTTTTGGTTTTGTACATCATTTTAATGCAACGCTATTGTTTTAAATAAATATACAAATGATATTTTTTTTAAATTTACAATTTGAGACAATTATTTTTTTTTAAACGTTTCACAAAATATGTAAATGAAATCCGAGTATTTTGATTAATTTAGTATGTGGATAATTTTTAAACATTCCACACTACTGTTTCTTTATTTCACACAAACATTATGAATTATGATTTAATTTTATTAAGTGTTGCCTGTTTTAACAAATTTTATTTTATAGTATTAACACAATATATGCTTAATTTTGGCGAATTATAAATGTTTACAAATGAATTGTTATTCAAATTTTTGTTTAAATAGTAGGCGATAATTTTTTTCTATAAAAATAAATATATTCAAATATTTTGGCAATGTGATAATCGTATTCAATATCAAAATTAATTAAAATTTGGTATAAAAACATCAAATATTTGCTCATTTTGGTGCCAAATTAAAAAGAAAAAATGTATTTATAGAGAACATTTTTAAATTTATATCAATATACAAAATTTCTAAATCGAATAATGTATAATGGCCTTACAAGATTTTTGTAGATGGCAGTATTTATAATGTCAACAAATTATTATTTTTCACGAAACTTATTGATTAGCAAATAAATCGTCGACCAACAAAGTTATTTGACTATGGGAGCATGGTCGAAATCAGTTACACTCACTAGCGCCTCCTGTCAATGGTCAAAACTTTCATTAGATATTTGTCGTACTGGCTCGTCATGGTTTTTTTTTCTTTTATGTCGTTTTCAACGCCCATATAGGTTTTATATGTTTTCTGACAGAACTAACCGAGATAGCAGCGCCTTTCTTACAAGCTTATATTTGTACAGCATAAATACACCAAAATCATTTTGTTCAGGCTTAGCGCACGCATAGTCTTTTAATTATTAATTAAGCAGTCCCTTATTGTAGATTTCTCTCACTTAATCCGCATTAAGAGGCTACCTCAGTAACCATTAAAAGACTCAGTGTGGCAGTAAGAAACCTATGTCAGTTTTAATTTATTGTATCATATTGTGAATTTAGGTTAAAGGAAAAGTCTCAATTTTTTAAACCATATCTGCATTGTGTTATTTTAAACAACGATTACGTGTAGGTGAATAACTTTTTATTAAATAACATTTACATATTTTTTGGAAAAAAATGTAATTTAATCAATCAGAGGATTTGAAATGAGCGAAATAAAGAATTTTAATGTTATAGTATATTTATGTGACTACTTTTTAATTGCTATCTTAAACCTGATTCTGAGATATGTTTGTTTATTATTTTTGTACATGATCGCTTCCTGAAAATTAAAAAGTTAATATTCGGTCGCTCATGGTCAAAATGTTTACGACTTGTGAATTTTTGCATGTAACAAATAATATATGACAATAATATTAAGTTACATTTATCGACTAAGGATAATGTTGTAGGCTTAAGATTTTATCATTTGTCATATCTTTATATTGATTCTCAATTTTAGCTGATTGTAAAGGAAATAAGATGCCACTATCATTTTTATTTTATTTTTTAATTAACAAAAGCCATTAGTCTAAAGTTTGTGATATTCTGTTTAATATAAGACATTTAAATGAATTAAATACACGTTCTTTATATTATATTTGAGGTTTCTTTTTAAAATATGGAAATATTTTCAATTAAGAGATTTTCATAAAGAAAACATATTAGTTTTTAATGTATTTCTTATAATCATTATTTATTCAAATATAGAAGCTATTTTCATAGAGAAAAGGGCTATATAAGCAGTCCTTTAGTATTTAACAGTGGTAAAGCCCGCTTTAACATCTTCGCACGAATAGGCCCGGCTCGCCGGGTGAAATACCACGACCACACAGAAGACAGGCGTGAAGTGGAAGCAATTCCGCGTTTCGTCTGATGAGTGTGCGTCCCGGAGGCCTAATTTAGTCCTCTTTCCCTTCCCACCCTTTTTCTTAGAAGGAAAGGATGGGAAGTGGAAGTGGACTTTCTGGATGAGAAGGATGCATGGGAAGGGCAAATATTTTCTTTCGGGTGGCCGATTGCTCGTTTGCCGCCTTTTGATATAAAAAAATGGATATTTAACGTCTAATTCTACTCTAAGGATCGCACTGAGTGAATATGTAAAAACTTAGGGCGGCTATCATAGACTTAATTGTAACATAAATGTTCAATCATAAAATGATTACAAATTTTACAATATTAGGGGCCTCAATTTACATTATTATACAGTATCAATTGTATTACTATTTAATAAGTAAAATCTTTTAATGCGTAATTAGTTGTCGATTATACTGCAAATATTTATACAGATGTTTGACGTCTAGTAACGCGTGGATATTTCAACAAACACGCCTAAAACATATAGCGAAATGTTAATAAAACCATGGTTGTTTTATTAATAAGACAGTCTATATATTTTTTGATGGAATAATGTTGTGCAGGTTCCGCTAAAGTGTAAGAAATTCCATCAACATGAATTTCTTTGTTATAATTTTGATGTTAAATGTGCACGTGAGTAAATATTCATAAATTTGTTAGAAGGCATCTCCAAAGCGGTTGCATGGATCTGGATGAAAGATATAGATGTAGTACACTAAGTGAAGGAACACATAGGCTTTTTTTTAATTCCGCGCAAACTGGTGGCGGCGAAAAGCTATTTTTATAACCTACCAGTTTGATAAAATTATTAAATTTAATAAACGTGTAAATCTTTTTTGATTTAATATTTTAAAAAAGTCAATGTGAAGTAATGTAAGTGATATAACGGTGAATTCAGCGATATTGTAGTCTATGGAATACTTTTGAAGTTCATTTATATATTAGTTGTTTGTTCTAATTACTAATAGCTCAAATAAAACATCCAATTTCAGGTCCAAGCAGGATCTATATTCGGCGAGTTTCGTGATATTATGTCTTCATTGGAAAATAGTTTTCAGAAGATGATAACTGAAGTCGTTACTGATGTAAGAGACACAATTGACTGTACAGTGGAAGCAGTTGAAGGTGCTTTATCACTCGGATCTACTATTTCTAATCCTAAATGTAGGGGAGCTATAAGACAATATCAAGATAAAAATGGTAATAGAAAAGGTATGTCATTGAATATTCGAACCGATACTTCGTTTCATGGTATCCATTATAATGATAATTACAGGAAAGATATTCCTAAACCAAATACATACGAAGAAGATAAGAAATATAAATTTAAAAATAATGATGATCGCTTAGAAAATATTGAAAGATTTCTTAAAGATGAATTTGAAAAAATGTCAGCAAATATGCGAATGCAATTCAAAGAAATAGAGTCTGAAGAAAAGTCAGCATCAGATGCTATAATAAAGTATATTAATATTTTACATAATATGAAGCATAATAGTAAAAGTGATACTGAAATAAATGAAGCGAAACGAATATTGGACGGTGCTTCAAAGATTTTAAATGTAAATGTTAAAAATGGTGACACGGACGATGCAAAGGTCAATAAAATATTAACAACTTTAGAACAAGGGTCACAACACGAAAAAGTTATGCAAAACACATTGTCTAAGATAGCAGAAAATAAATTCACAAATGATAGACAGAATAATTCACATTTATTACCGGAAACTTTTAAAGAGATATTTAACAAGTTAAGTCCATCTCATGTTAAAGATAATACGGAAGAAAGGAACCATGAAATTAAAGATGTGAAAAGTTCCCCATTTCATGGTATAGACTTGTCTCACCATAGCATAGAAAACGTTGAACCAATAGATTACGATTCACTATTTGGTGGTGGTAGTCATAGTGAATCAAATAACGACGCATTGGACGACGCTACTAAAATACTAGAAGATAGTAAAAGGAGTAGTTCTATTTTAAGTAACCTTTTTGCACAAGCTGTTCAAGCAGGTAGCAGCATCTTTGATAATCCTGAACCATTTTAGTTATAAACTTTCCAATATATTACATTTTTTTTAGTACCCAAATATACTTTTTAGTTGAGACACGACACGAATGCGTGATTTTATTTTCATTAATTGAGTTTATCAAAGTGGTCAATTAAAATCATATTGTGGTTCTGTTAATAATATTAAATCGTTAAAAATATATTATGATATATTTATAAATAATTAAATAATACACAACATAAATAACTTTAACATTTAAATGACACGTGATCTTGGAAGTTTCAATTATGTTTGAAATTGAGAAACATTTTGTATAATAAAGACGAGAATTCTTAAACCAAAGGAAATGTAATAAAATTCACTTTCTATATTATAACATTTTTATTAACAATATAAATAGATAAATTACAAATTTATTTTACTACAATTGAGCTGCGCTACTCTACTGCAAACAGTCAAATGTGCTTAATCCTTAATTACTTTAAATACCTACACATTCTTTTCGATTGCTCTTCAACAGGGACCCTAAACTATGCACCAGTACATTTCCTAGTCCTCTCATACTGACAATTTTTCATAATAATTATCTATCAAATGACTGCACTATTTGAGTGCGTATCTATATTAATCTATTTTTATACATTTATATCAACACAAAAAGCATTCCCATTCCGTCTATCAAATCTTCATCAACCTGTGCACACAATTGTTATTCAATTTGATTTGAAGTATATTTTAAATTACATAATACATAACGTAGTACGTTGTTAATATATTTCGTTTTGTTTTCAATTCCAGTCCAATGTTAACCACTGTTTCATTTAGTAAAAAGCGTATCTAAAATTATTGTTATTTACAATAATGAGCTTACGTACAAAACATGATGTTTAATTGCAGTAGGATTTCGAAATATCGTAAATCATATCGATATGAGTATCCATAGAACTTTCTCGAATAACAGAAGAATAGACAGGCCATTTATAAACAATGTAACAAGTTACATTAGTTACTAAATAAACAACATTGCCCCCTTGTCTGAAAACTGCAGTCAGTATGTAAATATAGGTATAAAAAAGAAGATTTTCTCATATTTGGTTAAAAAAATTGATCACACAATAGTTTTGTCATAAATAAGAGATCGAATCATCTTTGACTGACGAGACATTTACTTATATGCGATATAATTACGTGGCTTAAAATTTTGTATAAAATTTATTTTTCAACCACTGAAGTTCATATTCTTTATCTCGTTTGCCATGAATATGTCATGAACGTACGATATTAGGAAATCCGGTACTGATTATTTCGTCAATTCTAATCGCAATAAACCAAAATGGGTAGTCAGACAAGGCCGACGTCTATACATATGGAAAAGCTCCAGTGACAGATCAGCATTCATTATTAGAAATACTTGTAAAATTGAGCAAGTATCACTTAAAGTAAATTGTTATATTGTACTTATTATCATAAGGAGAATTTTGTATGTTGGGTTTGTAATGGTTTGTGACAAAAACATGTGAACGTAATGAATTAAATTACAAAATTAATAAAACGTTTAATTGATGATTATTTTGATGACTGGATTTTAAAGTATACATTTCTTAAAAATATGAAAATTGTTATTTATAATGTACATGTTCTATTCTACGACAATTGATATTATGTATAGAAGAGATTTTAAAAGTGAAGTTCATCTCGAGAGATAGCGAGATATATTGATACGCTAGTTATTTTAAGTCGAGATTATCTACCTAAAGAGTTATCTTAAAGTCTTTAAACCAAATGAGAGCTTAAATAAAATTCATAAGAAGAAGCGAGGTGTATCATAAGAAGGAGTTACGACTTTACAATGACACTACTTTACTACGTTATTTTAATTAACCCATCATGTTGAACACAGACAGCATCGATTTGGTGGTGTTTCGTTCATTAATTTAATACTAAATCTATCTTTCAAAACTACATACAACTAATTTTATTACTGCACAATTACGTTTTGGTTAATTTTATACTGCGTCATAAAACGCTTCAATTTTTATTTTTTTTTATTTTATTTACGAACACTACAAAAATGTTCTAAATATCGAAAATTTTATCATAAGTTTTAACATTATTTTTTACTATTTGATTTTTAGTTTAGTATTTTTTATAAATTAATGTTACAATAAATCGTTGTTAGCGACACATGGTCAGGTTCCATGGCAAAACATAATTTAGTTCGGTTCTTTTATTGTCATAATTTTTGTAATGACGTGATAATTTAAGACAGAGGACATAGATTATGATAATAGTTAAGAGTAAGAGTTAGAAGGATAGTCGATGAGTGCGTAAGGTAAATGTTGGGTGCAAAGTTTAAGAATATATGAGAAGAGATTACGCTAGTACAATGTACGTGTCGTGGAATAGAACACGTGCGGGCAGGACGGGTGTGCGTTGTGTTCCGGTGCAGTGCGCCCCACTCTCCCCAACTCCCCCCACTCTCCCACACTCCCCCACTCTCACCCGGCTCTGCACTGCAACTCGCTTGCAACTCTCTCCGATAAACATTTATATTGGTTACAACTATATTTTATAGAAAACAGATTGTTTTTAAATCAAATGCAACTATTAATATCACTGGGATTCAGAACGTAAAAAATATTCACTCCAATCGTGATATATATCGTATGTCGCACAAAAAGTGCCCACTTTGTTTTGAATAATTAGATATAAAATGCCGACTCGGACAAAGAAAATTTTCTTTGACGAGTACTTAAATAATCTTACATACTACATTGCTTTTTCTGGTGCATCTGTAAGCACCTCTTACTCCAAACATTCCGTCTGAAAAGTTACAAATCCTAAAAACATATAAACTACAAGTTAAAGAAATCATAAAACATCCTCTATCTTGATCTCCAATAATTCAAAATCAAATCACTCTGTATCTTTCGTTTAGAGTAGAATAAGAAACAAATTGTAGTGAGAGTGTGGCGTGGGGGCGCTGCACGTGGCGCGGCGTCTACGAGGGCGGCGGGCAGCGCACCAGCGTTGACGTGGCGATCTGGTTGAACTGCTTATCGATGGGCACGCGGTCGTCGTACAGTGTGGGCGCCTGCAGGATAATGCCCGCTGTGCCCACCAGCACCGCCAGTGTAAAGATCCACAGGAACAGACGGTCGAGCACCATCGCTACGTACTTCCAATCTTCTTTCACCTAAAAAAATAGAAAAAATCTGTAATTATTGCAATTGTAAGAAAAGCGCTTACTGTAATTTAATAATAGCAGTGCATTCAACGTTTCAATTTAGTTACTGTGTATCCAGGAATATCTCCATACCTTAGTAGAGTCTTCTAGCATTCTGGTGTGTTCCGCAATGAAGCGGACACAGAAGCAAGTCTTGTGCATGTGCGGCGGGCAAGCCGAGTGACTGAAGCTGGGCGGAGGGTCGGGCACGGGACTGAGCGCCTCCTCCTCGGAGCCCGGTCCCGGCACACCCAGCGCGCCGCCCTCACCCGAACCGTGCACCACGCAGCTGCCGCCGAAGCGATTACTCTCTCCCATTCTACAGAACAATAAGACAATTCATGGGATAAGGAAATAACTACAAGGATACTGGTCTCTAAGAAGACTAAAAGTTTTCAGGTCACGATGTCATTAATTTATGTCGTTTTGATTAATTTGCTGCTTGGATATCATCGCAGCCTCTACAGACGATTTTTACGTTGCGCTTTTTCCCTTCTTCCTCTCCTAATTATAACGGAAGTTACCCAGAATTGACGTAAGTGGTGTGCGTGAGGTCCTCTTTGCTCGGCGTGCGTGTAAGTGGGCGCGCCGGCACGACGGGTGGCGGCCAGGCGCCGGGCGCACAGCAATCATCGTCCGCCGCCGCCAGCCGGTACGGATAGAGCGGTCGCGCCGCGCCACCGCACCGCACCACCACACCACACGCCGTGTATCGTGACCTACTCATAACATACAATCATCATACTAGAAGAAAGATATCTTACCGATCGTAAAAATTTCTGACGTAATTTTATTAGGTTTGTGAATGAATAGTCTGTATTGAAGTATATTGGTTTAAGTTTCAGATTGGGATTTTTAAAAACCTTTTTCAGTATTCACAAATCAAACTCCAAGTATCGAAAACATCCAGAAAAAAACTAAAATTTGTTTTTAAAAGTCCGAAATTGTAGTACGAAATAAATTCAGAGTACAACAACACTCTCCAGTGATAGAATTTGTTTTCAATCAATTTTGCCAGAGAGGCCAATAATTTTATTATGAACTACGAATAATATAACAATTTAGAAGAAGGGATGATCTAACTTGATTAGATATGAATTATTGATGCGGATCGATAACTTGTTAAAGAGTTGATCTTTTGCGCAGTTTTTTTACCATCTGTTTATTGTTTATATTTTTTTGTTTTTACATTACTCGCGCGTACAATTATTTAACAAGATGTCTGAATGGCGTATGAACAATTCATCGAAGTTAAAAATTCGTTGTTGTGATAGACCATCTACATACATCCGCGTAATAATCTATGAGTATACTGCGACCACATTGTAGCTTGCGGTCTCATCTGTCCCGGCTGTCCATTTACGTAACGATCTGTAACCGCCCCGTGACGCAGCCCCGCTTCATACCAGTACTTTGACCTAAGAGAAACGGACTAGGTAAAGCGCCGCTGTATTACCAATTTAATTCTGTCATTTTTTTCAAGGGGATGAGGTTAACGAGACAATCACACATGTGCATGTGACGCTAACTGAAAGATGGAATGCTTTTATGAACGCTTGCTAACTTAAAACGTTACACATTTATAACAAGCATACAAGTAAATTTGGGATATATTGTTAGTTTTTATTTGGCAGAGCAATGTGTACGCTTGACAAGTCCTGTCTCTTAAAAGTCAAAGTACCACTGCTACGTTAGTTAATAGCTACTGCCTCTATCATTCTATGGAGCGGTTTGAGTCATGAATGATTTTGTTATTGAAACCCTTGAATATTGATTTCAAATCGAGCGATTAAATTAATACTTCATTGTTTTCCTTAAGTTGATGAATATTAAAATTAAAGGCACAATGTTGATTTATGTTTACGTAAATTTGAATACCGCTTTCAATTTGGAATTTGAATAATTCAGGGTGAAACATCATAAAGTTGCGAGAATACTTAAAACAGTCACAAACTTCACTATCTCAACGGAGTACGTAAGCATCATAGAACTTGGCAATTACTAAAATTCTAATCATAACGGTCTTGAACACACGAAATAGAGTATGCGGTTGTTTTTATATTGTAATATTTAGTTAAATAATAGGTGCTTAGGCGTTAACCTTGATTCCACTGCTTACGCAGTTTTTAAACGTTTTTTATTTCTATTTACTCAAAGAGACTAAGCGGGATACAATATTTTTTTTTCGAATATTTCGACAGTTGAGTTTTATGTTAACTATATTTTATTTTCAACAGGCTGCTGTACGTATTGTAAGTAGAAGTAAGAAATAAGTTTAATATTGAGTAATGCCAGAGTTCGGGAAAGCTTGAGAATAAGTTGAGTAATTGTGAAGTTAGGGCGCGATGGAATCCCGGCGCGTCGCTAGTCAACTAGTTATTATGCCCGATATTAAGTTGTTAGGAACTTGTGTACAGAGTACGCCAACAGAAGGGCCGCCTGCTAATAACTACGGGTTCACTATGCTATCACCGAACTTTGTAATTATAATTCTGTTATACGAACAGCCGATGTGTAAAGAGTTTTCACTTTTAATTACATGGTACATGAAATATGAAACACATAGGCTTATATGCCTTTAAGATTATTATATAGTTACATATCGTTAGTTTCTGATGTGCTGTGGTGCACACTTCAATATAACTTTATTTAATTCAAACCATAAAACAGTAATATCTAACCTATTTATAGCCATTACATTTTGATGACTAAATGAGTACATTAGCAAACTTCCCTTTATCTATTGTAGCTAGTGGAGCGTAAAATGCATCACTAAAATATGTGCATACATCATAATTAGACTTAGATTCAACTCATTAATCGTACTAATAAGGTATCTTAGGAACGTCTCAGCAGATCTTGGTATAGATATAGATTGGTTTAGATGTATAGATGTAGAACATAGTCTAGAAGAACACATAGGCTAATTTTTTTTTTAATTCCGCGCGGACGAAGTCGCGCGCGACAGCTAATACACAATGCTCAAAAGAAATAGTTTATCAATATTTGTTTAGCATTCGACTCGTGATCGCTGAAAATCGCAAGGTCAAAGAGAAAATAGAGAAAAAAATTCTTTGATAGAGCGTGCGCAAGGCGCTGCCTGTAACTTTCTCGAGCTATTTTATTTTATTAGGGCATCAGACGTCGGCAACGAAAGTTTAATCTAACATACACTTTTATCGTATATGTAACCTTATTTATTTTTGTTAAAATCTTTCTTCTTGTTAACAGTAACAGCTGGCAGATAAGGAGAAATAAGCTTTGACATTGCTCTATTGTAAAAATAAAAGAGACGAGATCAAATATGTAGTACAACCAATAGGACCAATACTGGGATTCATTACGCGATTAAAGCTATTCTTTTCTATGACATTATCAAATTTAGGCAATAAAATTCAGTAATTACAATTGATTTTTTAAGGTATGTCGAAAAACATCATTTGATAATAGGGCCTTCAGATTTATAGTTAAATTATCTTAATATTTACTTGCCTAAAATCAAGTATGCTTAACTAAAGACTTGAACGCTGAGCTAAACACCGACGAACAATATTAACACAACTCGTCGCTGGATGCTTACAACTTTGAACTTATTAATATTAAAGTTATCAGGGGCGGTGTTAGGCTAGTCCACAACTTTGCCTCTGAAAGTCACCGAGAAGTTATAATTAATTTACATTTGTCATCGCGAGGTGTCTGGGGCGCGGTGCTCTCGGTATGGGATCGGTCGCATGTTTATCTTAACTTTTAAATGAACTCCGATAGCTTCACCTAATAAATATAATTAATCTTATCACTATCAAATTTTTATTTACAAAATCGTGTAAATTTTCGGTAATAATTCTGTCATAATTGGTATGTGGTTAAGCAAAATATGTATGAAAATCTTTGACATTTTAAATCAAAATGGCGTAGAACCATATTTGGTGATAGAGTATAAAACTATTTACACTCATTGCGTCCAAAGCTTAATGAACGTGCTGCCAATTTCAATAATTAAAGTCAGTAGAGTTTTTTCCTAGTACACCTACAGTTGAGACTTCTTTAGTGTATATTATCTTTACTTTTTGATTTGTATTTATATGTAAGTTAGTTACCTGTTGGTGTCGAATTTGTACTGCGGTCGTTTCATGAAGAGCAATCGAGGCAGGATGTGTATGAAAACGCGCTTCACCCAGGGCGCCATGCGGTGCGTCTGCGGTGACCGAAAGTGCACGTTCAGCACCACCACAGTCACACATATACTGCAAACCATACATATCATACATACAATTTTTTTACTACTAGCTTATCTCAAAGTCTTGTAAGGTAGCCTAGGCCAGGGCCTAGCTCAGTAAATTTCCAGGTCGGTCATATATAAAATTCAATGTTTGTAAGTTTGTCCCCTAAGCTAACAGGCAGATTGTGTTGTAACTTTGTTAGGATGTTCTCAGGACACCAGAGAAGGTTTGTGTCCTAAAAATCTAGAAATAAAACACCTTATGAGTAAGTGGTAATTATTTCGGTTATTTAGACTTAAATCTAAACTACAACTAAAATTGAAGTTGTATTCTCTTAAATTGCGTTTTTAATAAGGAAGAATTTAGCTTAACATAAGAAAGAAATCCAATTACGGGAATGGGTCTAGAATAACCGCGATACTGCAAGTTCACGGCAACATGTAATGAAGACAGTAATTAATCAAGATTTATCACGTGATCTGCACGCTTTGTCCACCTAGGGCTGCCGCTTACCACGACATTAATAAAATGTTTATTACGAACGAAACAAAAACAATAATCATTAAATTAAATATCGGCTATCGACGAGCCTGTAACACTAATGAACTACGATATTTAATAAAGACATCACTAAAAAATTTTAACTTTTCTTGATTATTCTAATTTTTTATCCGAACGGAATTCTTTCAACCAAACAAATACCTATACTGGATAGTCCACAAACTTGATTTTGAATTGTTTGAATTATGTCAGTGACGTTCCTATTTAATTTGGAAAGCATTTGAGTGAGAATAACTAACTAGTTATTCTATACTATAACTAATTCTATAATATACTATTAACTAATAGTATGTGAGGCAACCCTAGGTGTGGGTTAGATTGGTTAAAGGGAGGAAGGGCTCGTCCCTGAATAAGCAGTTTCGTTATTTACCTACGCACTGGCTGCTAATAAAGGAACCGGCCGATTAATGTGGCCTTGTTGTGCGTCCCTACTCCCAACTCCCTACAACATCACAACAAACGTAACGGGGATAATTGCTTTCATTTACCTATATTTATGCGTCATTGCATACTTAATTAAGGAGTGATAAGTTTTTCATTAAAATTTGTAACACGATATCATAGAAAAAAAATCAATGCTATTAAAAAATTAAAAGGGATTTGTATTAAAAAGTTGTGTGTCACAGCCTGACGATGAGAAAAACTTTTAATTTTCTAACAAAAAATCAAGTCAATACTGGTATAAAATTTATTTACTGTATAAAAGTATTGACAAAATGTTAAGAATTTTCAAAGACACGTTTAGAATTATTTATTGATAATAAAATCTTAAAAGAACAATTAAAACTATGCAGGCTCACTATCTTAATTTTTTTTAGATTACAAAATAACTGTATCAAATATCTTGTTCGAAAAACGGCTTTTAATTTACATGTAAATTCTGCGGTTTGTAAGCGAGTCGGAGTTTGGGTACAAACATTTAAATTGCTTTTCTATGTGACCTTAAAGAGAAACATTTTGGTAGAAAAAGACCCATGGATATCCTTTGCAGTATATAATGTATGGTGAAGGTTTTTTTATTAACATTTTGTACTGAATAAAAGAAAAACGTTATTCCAGATTAAGTCACATATACATAATCGGATTTTAAAGATTCTTAAACAAAAAGTAGACTATATTTTTTATTTGTCTATCTACACAAGAGGAACTGGGGCGGGTGCGTAGTATAATTACAAATATCTCTATACATACCTAATAGACACAAGTATCATAGCGAATATGAGGTACTTCCCGAGCAGCGGCACTACTAAAGACGTCGGCGGTATGATCTCCACAACCAGTAGGAAGAATACGTGCAGGCTGATCAGGATGGAGATTGACAATGTTACCTGCAACAGTTACTAGAGTTAATACTAGAGTCGCCATATAAAATAATTCACGACGTCACTGCATCAGGTAGGACCACGAGGCTAAGCAGTAGTTTATAAAAAGTAGCATTTTACTTTAAAATTTCCAAAAAAATAACTGTGAAAAGGGTCTTGATGGGATGACAAAATGATCCTACAAATTTTCCTTTTTAATTATTTCGAGTTACGGAATCCTAAAGATGAATAATTGCCATGTACGTAGCGTTTTTAGTTATTCTGTTCACATAATTTCGGCGTAGGATCGAAATGATGTATAGAATTTATGAATTTCTTCGTAAAAAATAAAGTATTTGTTATTTGTGAAGTACAATGTCTACTTCTATCACTTAGGAATATTAGAAGGTACACGTAAAGTGTACTCATATATTGATTCAACGCTTATTCATGTTTACTACCCTTAGTCCCCACTTCAAAGCTTTCGAGTAAAGATCGTCTGGCAAAAGGCACGTATGCCTGTTTATCTAAAGTCTGAATTGGTCGTTGGGCTTTTAGTAACACATCATTATCGAATTGGTTTTGTTTCGAACCGACCCAATGTATACGTGTAAACGAAAAAGGTTTTGTTTGACGTAGAATATTTAAAGCGGCTTACTTTATTTACATAAGCCTACATAAAATATATTGTGTTAAAATACACTTGTAAACCAAAATAAGTAGGGATTATAGATGTTGATTTTTTCATCATTTATATAAACTCTTGCTTTATAAAAAAGCTAACTGGACAATTATACAATGTAACCTACAAATGGAATGAATAAATTATATATGTATTACATTTTAATTATTTTAGTGCAATGGAGATACTGCATAATGTGAACTTAACCAAGGATTAATTATCAATCAATTGTTAATTAGCAAGTCAATTAAGTTCGAGTTAAGTTCAACATTAATTAACAGTCAATAAATAACATCGTTAAACACGTTATCTTATCGACGAGGTAATTCAGTTTGTAATAAGACGGGTCGGGTTTGTACTTGATGGATGGTTATTATAATCTCTTCTGAAATTTAGTATTCAAGGTGTGGAAAGATGGAGCCAATAAATTTCGTGTTATATTTCAGGTTTAACGCCGGCTTTACGGCCTCGTTAAAGCAATTTTGTTCGCGCTGTTTGCTTTATATGTTGTGAGCAATATCTTAAAATTCAAACTTGTGCGTAAAATTTTCGAAATGATTCGATAAATTTGTTTGATTTATGCTGTTTTGAATAAAATGAAATTATAATTTGTAAAGGGTTCCATAATCTTTAATTGCTAGATAGTACTCATTTATTTTAATTGAAACAAAAACAATAGTTATAAGGTCATAATAGAATCGAAATACACTCTCTAGCATAAGCCTCCTTCGAGTTTTTAAATCATAGTAGGTACGTGAACTGGAGAATACTTAAGTAACCTAACAAGAAGTATACCCCTGCCTGAATCGATTAGCAAAGGTTATTCGGCTGACATGATATTAAATAACAAAGTCATAACGAAGGTGTTTACCTTTTCTCCGCTGTCTGAAGGTAGATAAAATGTGAGCACGGTGAGGAAAGATATTCCCATGCACGGTATAATGATGTTAACCGTGTAGAAAAGTGTTTTCCGCCTCATCGTGATGTTGAACGTTATATCCAAGTACGGCTCATCGCAACACGTGTAAAATTTCTCATTTCTGAAAAACAACGCAATTATTATCACAGGAATGTTATGATTTTCACGCAAATTGTTATTTGGATTTTAAATGGTCCAAATTAAAACGTTTTAAAGGTAGTTGAATAGTAAATAAATACTTGTAAAATGTAGCAAATTAATGTGATGCATTATCCTACATTTCACAATACTTATTGCGTTTAACGTCCCATTAAGTACATTTTATTGATTATTCAATAACCTTTTATAATGTCGTCCACTTACAAACGAGATGTACACCGTACTTACAATTTACGACGAAAGGGAGACATAAAAATGCATATATGTATACGCAATTTAGGGGAGTACGTCATAAAATGCTTCCCCGTTATTATATCTAGCGTTTCTATTACGATAATGTAAATATAAGGTGAGAAAGAAGTCTTCTCGGTGTCAACTTCAATAAATAGTATAAAATAATATGATGAACATCAAAAAAAGACGACCCTAATTAATTTGCTAACGGCGACAGAGAATTTGCACATCTGACCTTCGGTTTAAGATACTGAAGCTCTTATACCAAAGCATTGTCATCAATTCTTTCTTTTTATAAAAAATATAGAGAACAGAATGTTTTAGACGGGGATATCCGTAGATTAAATCCACTTTGAGGTTGTAAATTTACTTTTATTCTGATGATGCGTCTGTTATTTCTTTTAACTTTCAACATTCACAGGTTAAATTATATGAATGAAAGATATCGAGAAGTTTTAAAAATAAAGGCTAGAAAGTTTTTAATAGAATAACTCGATGCGTACGTCGCAAATACGAAACAGCATAATTTTCCACCAAAGCTTTCTTTATTTGAAAGATTATTGGAAAACTTTTATCGTAATAAGTATGAGACAAGCTAACTTACAGCAACTTTAATTATTAAGTAGGAAGAGTTGGGAGGCTTTCAACGCTTACAGTGATAATGGAAGATAGCCCGAAGGCATGTCGGCGTCGACAACTTAACGTCAACATGAATAACGTTATTTATTGAAATTGATAGAAAGTTATTTACATTATACAATATTTTACGTATTAAAATTCATAACAAAATTTGAATAAACAGTTAACGTTAAGGGTTAAGAAAGTATTTATAAAGTTAAAAGTTTTAAGTATTAAAAAATGTCAACGATGGGGAGTAGATAATGGATTCCTACATAAAAGAATTATGACATACTTTACTCGCTTCTTTCACGTTCAATTTTGGAACTATTAATGTATTTTGCTCCTAACTGGGCATTTTAAAGTGTAGTTGGATTAAATTAAAGATTAACTGCTTACTTATGATATAGGTAAATAAACATGACATATTTATTCAAATCTTTTGTTGCGTGATTACAAGGGGGTTATGTGTCGGCATGTCTTGTAAAGAGGATCCGTGATAAAGGTGTGGGGTGGATTGAACCTCGTAGGGCGGTAACTTGACGTCGTAAAATTGTCGAAGTAATTTTACGGCACGACGCTTAATATGGTTCATTTTCTTCTTATATTTGCCCTTACCTTAACAAAAAGTCAGCAACGTCAGGTTTAAGGAAGGACGCATTGGTAAGTAATTCATTTATTTTGATCCTGTCGTCTCGTTTTCTACTCATTAAACTTGTACACACACACGTTTCTCCACACTACTTTGGTTTTCATCTGGTTTGCTAAAAGCCGCTTAGAATTAAGACAATAATTCTATGTGATAGTTCATAGTCAAACTTATACATGCCCAATGAAAATAATAACTTATTATGCATGAATAAATTTACTCTATTTAAAAAAAAGTTTGCTACTTAGTTACAAAATGTAAAGTTTTCACATCTAAGTTTAGGTAAAGTCATTAAGTCGCAGACACGTCGTATTTTATAGAAGCGGTGTGCGATAAGGTTGAATGAATAGTGTTTTAGTAAAGCTTAAGTCAGCATCAAAGTTGACGTGAAGAGGGCGCGGTAAGTGACGTTGGCTTAATAACGGGCCGCGTGCACCGGGTACCAGGGCAACGTCTCCTAGATGCGAGGATAACGTTTTGAAGATACTTTACTTCATGAGCATCTAAGCTCTCATGCGTTTTATCGCTTTATATAATACAATGCAATTTAAAGATATTTTGAACACAGAAAATCTTTGTTTTATAAATCAATTCTAACTTTAAGCTTCCTCTATAACATAATATTTCTTAATATTTGTCTTAACAGTCGTTAACAGTCGTAACCCTCAATTATTGTATCTGTAAATATTGACTCTGAGTTCGGCAGTTGGATCTCAAATACCGTAGAGTTTTCCCTGAACTGATAGATTACCGCGAAACTTTATTAATTTCTAATTTCATTTGTTTCTTTGCTTTCAATTACGTTTTGGCAAACCTGTATATTTTATACGATTTAAAAGTTAGTTATAAACTCATAATGTAGGTAGATCAAGGTTGTGTGAACACGTTTATAAGCATCTTCGTTACAGTCCATGTTAAAAGTCCCGTCCGACATGAGTATGATAAGTGGTTAACTTTATGTGGGACATAACAGCGCAGAAATAACTTAGTTACTCTGCCGTAAAACTAAGATAAGGTTATTTTTTTATATATATTTTCGTAAACCAATTATAAACTAAACAAAATAAAGGTATATTTGTCATAAATAATTATTCTAACCTAACAAAAATTCAAACCAAAGTTCAAAGTCAACCATTATAAGTTTTTAATTACCTAATTAAATAAAATGATTTTACTTTTTCTTGAATAATTATAAAGTTTAATTCTGAATTCATTGTTCTTGGAATAAAAAGCTCTCTGAAGTGCTTAAACGAACTGAGACCGAGTAAGAAATTTAATTGATAAGAAGTTTGTACACCGCTGGATTTGATTAAAGCTGGGCAACGCCACAATCAAAACTTAGCACATTGAAAAGTTTTACATTCGAGTTCAAGTATTTAAAATTAAAGTAATTTGTATCTAGACTAAATAAACTACTCATAAATATAAAACTAAATCTATTATGAACTTAAATAATAATTAGAAAAATATTTTATCATCATATAATCATCTATAGCCCACTAAGGGTTCTCACTGAGGGTCTCGGAGACTACGTTAAATTAAGGACTAGAACATAGTCAACCACGTCATCAATAAAATAATTAGTAGGAACAAACGTAAAAATAGAATTGCCTTTATATGCGTAAATAATATGTGCTTTTGCTCCCACCTGTTCCGTAAAATAATCACTTTTTATTTGTTAAGGCGCATTATTTTGTCAAATAAAACGAGACTTTCTCAGTAAATCCATCGTAATTGTCCCCAGCGGTTAGTGTAGGCAGTGTTTAAATTCTCTTTGAAAGACCGCAAATCTTTTGTTGAGCTTCATAATGGATAATGCTCGAATCAATGACGTTCATAGCGGAGACATGTGAGATTCTTTTCAAGGATTTTTGTCGAGAATTCACTATATTTACTTACAAAAAAGGTTAACAGACCATTATGGTCCGTTTGTGTTATCAAAATAGTAACGATTTCAGGATAATAGTGAAGGAACACGCAACGAACGCAACACGTAATAATCGTGTAACCATTTAGTGAAAATCCAGTAATATATTATTATTTACACCTAGATTGGACGGCAAAGAATCTTAAGCTCGCAATCGGTCTTTGCCGAGCTTAGACAAACTCGAGCGTAGACAAATTATTACAAAGTATGTAATAATTTGTCTACGCATGTATGTACGCAATGTATGTATCTATACGTTTGGCAAGTTTCAAAGACCAATACAAAAGACCAATTTAGATAAATTTTATTTGTATTAAGTTGTAAGTGCCTTATAAGATTTTGAATCAATTCCAATGCAGCTGTAAAATTTTATTAATTAACATTATTTTCTTGATTATCCTCCCTTTATATATTTGTTTTGTAACAGTCACTATATTATACAATTCAATATACAAGTTATTTAAAAATAATTCCTCAGACCCTTAGTGTTGGTTACTCATAACTCATACTCATAATGAATCCACACTTTGTGTCTTTTCCAGTGTCCAAGGAATAACTCTCAGTCTGAGTTTGTTGTATTTGACAATAAAAGTTCATGTTAAAAAGATTAAAACTAACCTGACAGCGGGTACTTCTAGTATATCCCATTCAACTGACATGTAGAACTCCGAGAGGTCGACTCCGACGGATACCACGTTGCTTCCGGCCTGTTCGTCCATATGCCGCAAGTCGACCTGTACACACGTACTCCACAAACATTATTCAGTACTTTATATTGATATTCAAGAAAGTATACAAGGTCATTAATTTTATTTTATAACTGGAACTATAGGTAGAAAACAAATAACATCTTTTTAATTATTTTCGTATCAGAAATCCTTTGTCAAGGGAAGAAAGGAAAATATTTTCTTGAAAATTGGCCAATAATAGGTAAATTCTTTATTTAATTTTGTATTGTTAATTGATTAAGTTAGTAACGTAAATATAAAAGGACATCTTAAAACTAAAGTACTATAATATTATCAAATATAAAACATCGACAATCACGAAAAACATACAAAACACACAATTTATTTGGCAATGCTTTTAACTGTTTGCTTTAGTAGACAGGCGAGTAACAATGCAATTTATTTCTCTACATATTTGCATAGAACAAAAATATGTAATTAAACTTTAGCCTTTATAAATCAAACAATGCGCCCATTTTTTTGTTCCGATGCAAATAATAGATTTTTTCATTAAAATTAGTTTCATTTATTAATTAAAACACCTCATTTTATTGTGAACAAAAATCATTAGTTAAACTCGAGACATGCACCCTGCCACACAATGTGAACCTATACTAGAATGCCACACATCAAAAACACCATCTGGTCTAAAACACTAAATCAAACTCGAGCGCTGTTAAATCTCAACAGCAGTTAACTGACGTCCTTAGAAGACGATGTAACGACTAAACCATACCACAGAGTGTGCCAAGTAGGTACCTGTATCGACAAAACGATCTAAAACAATTAAATAATAAACTTTTAAGGCCACTCTTTTAAAACATTTATTACCAAAGTAGACAACAACAACAATGTCAATTCATGCGAAGTAATGACAACGCGTAAACTTTAGTAACACACCTATGAATGAAAGTCCGGATATTCTGGTGATCGTGAATCGGGAGTCGGTCTTCTTATCGGACTCTGACGCAATCGCAAGGAGGTTTTAATTGCTGTCTGGTAACAAATGACGTGGCCGTCTGTTCCCTGCGATTTGTCACAAACAAGTAACAGAGGAGATCGGAATACCGGCTCCGCCGCGCTGTGTGTGTGCCGCACATCAGCCATGCGCATCATGCCAAATACATATTACATTATTTACGAGCATACATATAATCGTTTAATTTATTAGTTAGTTAATGTGTATGGTTTTGGCATCAGCGTTGACTTTCTAAAGTGTAGCGGTTGCATGCAATTTAAAAGAGTTTCGTCGATTGAACGTTTGAATTCCGTCGGCGAAACGGCAACTACTTTCAACATCTAATTCGGTCTGTGTGCACTAAGGACTCCATGTTTGAATTTGAGTTGGATTGTATCTATAGTTCAGATAATTCTAGTTCATTGTAATGTTAATAAGATATCATGCAATGGTCAGTGACACCAAATTCTTACAGCCTCTAAAGAATCGCTAATAGGGAAAGGTATAAAATATGAACGATGATATCAATTTCTGTTCGGAAGTGTGTCCGAGTATAATTTTGTAACGCGGTGTAGTCTTGTTACCTGGTGTCGTGTAGGCGTCGTGTGAGGCTGTGTGCACCGGGGCAGGGGCTGAGGCTCGCGACGTGATCGGGAATGCAACCGGATCAGACAAGCCGGATACGTGCAATGAGTTCAGTGCGGAGACAAAAGGAGCATGCAGCAAGCATCGGAGGGGTCGTGTGTGTGGTGTGTTGTGTGACGCGAGCGGAGCCAGCTGGGGAGAGGTGTGGTGGCAGGCGCCGCACCGCGCAGTGCTTATTCAATACTAAACTTAGTTATATACAAAAATATATTTACCCACAAATTACATCATTGATTTAATATGTATGGTTTTCCACAAACTAATAAGAGCAGCAGTCAGCGCAGCGCGGCCCAGTCAAGGCGGGACGTGTCGGGAGGGATAGAATCGAGGGATGTTGCATCCCATATCACCTAGCTTTAAAATTTTATACCTTTCCGTGTCGAGCGAGGAGGGCCGATCGAACTAAGTGGAACCGACCGAGTTTTTGTCTGGAGCATTTGTGGACACGCGCGTAGATATGCTGCTACTCCACATATTACAACATCATCATCACAATAGAAATAGTAAAGTTGCAACATGACAGAGCAAAGGCGCAGCGGGAAGAGCAGGCGAAGAGCGGGGCAAGGCGCGCGCTCTGCGCCGGCTGCAGCCGCCGCGCGCTCGCAGAGAGCCAGTACCACATGGACAAAGTAAGACAATACACGACGAGTTACGTTCGAGCGGACAAGCTACTGCACGGACATCGGGCGGGCGGCGGGCCCTAGGCTACGGCCCGCGCGCGCAGCGCCAAGCGGCGTACAGCGGGGCGTCACCTTGAAGCCGTCATATGTCCAGCTGCCTAACTTAAGCACACAGGTTTGCACGTCGTAAGGAAAGAACTCGACGTCGATCGAGCAGGAGGATTTATAGACGGCGGGCGGCTGCCACACCACCATGCCGTTGTAGTAGACCGTGGCCTTGGTCATCAGCGTCACCTCGTAGTTGCCGTCGGCGCTGCGGACAAACAAAGCGGTCAGCCGGGGCAGGGCGGCGGCGCGCGCACATTTACCTTGAATCCATCGTACGTCCAGCTACCGAACTTAAGGACGCACGTTTGCTCGTCGAACGGAAAATATTCCACATCTATTTCGCAGGAAGACTTGTAAATTGCGGGCGGTTTCCATTCGACTAATCCCTGGTGGTAGATGGTTGCCTTGGTCGCCAACGTTACCTCGAAGTTGCCGTCGGCACTGCAATGTTAATGCATTTTTACAAGCGGCCCGGGCCTCTATGAGGACCCCTCTTGTGGCGTGTGTACTGTCGCGCCGTCGGTCGTGAGATTGCTGAGTGCCTACGAGATATCTGTGCGTGTCACTGTTTCTGTACTGTTTATACTTACTGATGTGTGTGCTCTGTGTACACAGTTGTTGATAAATATTTCGTATTAAATTATTCATTCAATATTCATACACTTGCTGGTATTAGTGCGAACTAATTTGAAATCAATCTTGAAGCGTAACGTAGCGTGATATATATTTAAATTCTAAGGTAGTGTAAAATATAAATTACAACGCGCTAATTTTGTCATCAGCTACTTTTTTACGAATTACACCTTACTTTTTAATATTTAGATGTTTAAAAACTTTAGTTAAGTAGCTGCTTGTGCGTTTTGTAATTTAGACAGCAATGTATATAGGAGTATGGTCCAGAGTTTATTACAACAAACAAATCTTTCCTCTTTTGTTATACATATAAGTTCAGGTGTCCGCTTTTATTTAATCAAAATTAGGTAGACAAAAAAGGGATTGAGTAAAAGGAAGACGCGGACATTAGGGCAGTAGGCACAGGTTGCGGAGACGTCGCAAATGAATAACGAGAGTCGACCGAATCGTTTATCAAAGTCCGTCTGAGGGCGACGCAGTCTGCGGACAGGACGAAATGAATGTCGTCTTATAACTCAACGACAACTGGACCCCAATATCCTCTTCAAAGCGAATCTTTGACAGTTATAATTGCGTTTTTTATATCTCTACAATACAATGCAATAGGTTAATGTTTTCACGGTTTGAAAATGTTTATATGTACTTGGTTTTATGACTAAATAATTTGTTTAAATTATTTTATATATAAAGTTATAAATAAATGAGCGTCATGTGGAGAGAAAGGACGAAAACAGCGAAGAAATAAAAAAAAAAATAGTTCGTGTTGTAATTAAATTTTAATAACAGAGGAAAACAATCAAAATAATTAGGACGGAAGAGGAAGGACAGTAATAAAAAAGGTGTAAATGTTTCCGTGACTTTTTAATGCCTTCAATTAAGCTGCGGTCAGCAAGGGACAATACAAGCCAATTTATTACTTTCAGACAAGCTCTTAAATATCGTTGTGGTTATTTTATCTTATTAATTTTATACATTTCAATGTTTGGACGTATGGATGGATGGTTGGTAGATGTTTCTTTGTTAGAAGGTATCTCCAGACTGCATGGTTTCTGTTGAAGTTTAGCATAGACGTAGAACAAAGCCTGAAGAAACACATATTCCACTAATGTTTTTTTAATCTTATAATTACGATACGATATACTAATTACTATTTGTATATAATTCTAAGAGCTTGCTAAACTTTATCATACTCAGAGACATTAAGTCTTCTTCTTCATCTTCCTTGGTGTGGATTTAATCTTAAATCTAGTCTCCTTTAGCACAACAAAGTGCGGCAGTTTATGTTTTCAATATGTTTATAATTTCTGCATGACCATTTGTGATAATATACGGTACCCAAGTATAAATGTGCGTTCCTTTGTTCAAGGGGGCCGGTTATCTAATTATATCAGAGCAAATTCCCGCCGTCTTATATTAAAGCGCGACATCCTGCCGCTAACTTTGTTATTACGAATGTTATCGCGCCCAAGTTTTAAGCGCTTCTCGCTTTTATGAGGATCACAGAATTTGTGAACTAGACCGCCGAGATGTGCCACCTTAAATTTAATTTTGAATTCGCACAAACCGAATAATCATAACGCTTATTTCTAAAATAAACTTTATCTCTCACGTTTCACTTTTGAATTGTAAAAAAAAACAGCAATATATTCCTTTCAAGATATTGCTATTATATTTAATAAATAAGTGATAATTTTTTGCGTTAGATTATTTAATTTATTTGCATAAACATTATTACAAGCTGGTAAAAATTCTTCACAAAATCTAAGTCATTTGTTCTTTGTCCAACATTAAAGCAGTGCACAAAATTATTGAGTTCCGGTCCCTTGTGTCCAGTTTACGAGTCAATTTACCCATTTACGTCGTAGTTACGGTCGCAAACGCTTTATAGCGCTTCGTATTTAATAATTACGATTTAGGTATTGGTAAGGATTATAACTACGATTTGATAAAAAAAAACTATATTGCTGAATATTAGATGTGTGACTGATTCTTCTAAAGTCATCCTTCGATTAATTTCAAGAGCATAGATTTATACAATGCTTTTCCCGTCCGCGTTTGTTACTTCTTTATGGCCTTTTACTTTTTAACAAAGTCGTAACAGCGGTTGAAATAGTCCTTTATATCAATTTAATATTGATAACAAAATATTAACGAATTTGTACCTTTTCTTTGGGCGGTAACAAAAATATTTCGCTGTAAGCTAAAGATAATCGGAAATACGCTATTCAGTTTTCACCGGGTACAGCGGCTTTGCGTGAACAATGGACAGTATGGGCCTGAAAGCAGCTATTGTGCGAATCTTAGCTCTTTCTGTTTTTATATCCTAAGGGAGCTTAATATTTTAAAATATATTTTAATGTTATATTTTTGTCGTAATCATCAACATTTTTACATTTTTTTGCTGTAAAATTTTATTTTAACTATGCCAATACTAATTACAACTTTATTTATATTAACAATAAAACTTCATCTATAGCTAGTGATTAAAAAAAATTAAACGTGTAAATAAATATTAAAAGAACATTTTACATCATATAATATTCAAATATCCTAAAAATAAAAAGGCTTTTTTTTTGTAAAAGATGTTTTTGAAAAAACACAGGAAAATTGTATAATATTTGCAATAGAGAATTACCAACCTTTTTATAAGAAGTCTGGAGCATATCTAAATATAATTATTTCTAAATTAATAGTTTCTTATTTAAACAATAGTTAAAAGTGCTAGTTAATTATGTGTTAATTATAATTATTTAAATGTAATGTTTAGAGTTATGGTGAATTAAAACAGTGTTAAT